GCGACTGTAGTGTATGGGGAATGTTTTTGAATGATAGCATTGTTGTTAAGCTTGGAGAATTATGTCTCTTATGACAGAGTGCTAAACCATGCTAGTAGAGTTATGTGCATTATAGTTGTGGTTCAATTTACTCTACTACACTGCATCATTAAGACATCATTAATCCGTCATGTGTCCCAGAGACATGGTGTCCCTAACCATTTTAGTATTTTTTTTATTATTATAACTATTTTAAATGAATAAAAGAACTGTAAGGTAATTATTCAGACATCATAATTTGTTATAACAAACAATGTTTAATCCTAAATCTTGTGGACTTAATGGATTAATTAAGTCCAAAATATATCTTGTTATTATTAATAGCATAATTTAAATGAACTGGGGCCTTACCATGAACTCTTATTACAGTTCAGTATAGGTTCATGACAACAAAAAAGCGGGATCGTGATATACACTTCATGTAGTGCTGTCTCACAACGATTCATTTCAGGTACTAAACTGAATCGTAATAAGAGTTCATGGTAAGGCCCCTGGTCAATAACTTTCCATTTTTATTGTATAACTTAATTTTAAAAATCCGTTTTCTACTTTAGACACAGTTGGTTTCGTATCCAAACGTTTCCATCTCTTATTCTCGTAATTCTCACGGTCTTTGTCTTCAGTCACAACAAAAACATAATGTAGAACCATTGTAGAACAAAGTAATTTAAGGCCTCATTTTTAAATCTTATTCAGTTAACTAATCAAGATTGAAGAGCACCATCTGTTTAACATATGTTAGTAGAAAAGCCCGAATATATATGTGAAAGACAAATTAAAATTAAAATGTAAACTCACCCATACAGAGTACTGCTCCCCTGCTTCAGCAAGAGGCATCCTCAAAAGCCTTCTCACAACCCACAAACGACGCGGCATAACACGCACTCGTAGTACAACATTGCTGCCTGATACTTGATACAGCAATGACTGAAAAAAATCTTATTAGCTCTCTTTTATCACAAGAAAAATTTATGAGTTCAAACTCTAACTCAAACACGTATTGACAATTTGACAATCGATTTGACGCACTCATATCATTTTTTTTTTAATTTATTAAGGCTTTGGCAAAGTCATCAGCGTAAACATGAGTTTAATTATGTTTCTGTAAATATGGCCGCCACAAAGAGGATAGGCAATTTGAGGCGGCGTGCTTGGTTTGACTCGGGATTCCTTAAAACGGGCCGATACGGGTATTTTAGTTCGAGATTTGTATAATTTCGCGTTTTAATATTCGATTAAGGCACAATAGCACTATCCTATTCCACTTTAAACTAGATTTCACAAAATAATTGAAAGTCAAAATAAAAACGACACTTTTCCCTCCAAAAGGTCCAGAGCGAATGCACAATCCAATGAGATAGTGTCATTAGAGGAGTTTTAAAGTTCGAAAAATTAGTTTTCTAATTAAAATGTAATTTAATTTTCTCTTCTCAATTAAATATGTAATTGATAAACCTGGCAATCATTAATGCGATTAATTCAACAATTCCGATTTTTTTTTGCAAGGGTTTAGTAAAGCGGCAACATTTTCCATTATTTCTCTTTAAAACGGCAGAGGTTTAATTATTATACTGCCATGTTTGCTGTACGTACATACATAATTTTCATAGAAATAGTTCTTTTTTATATCGTTGTCACCGTCGTGTGGTAACATCATGGAGATACACTCAGATACACTGCTGCAACCACACGCAAAATAGGCGGCAGGCGCCTTGACGTCGAGTTGCGGACACCAGCCCGTTACACCAAGTACCAAATACACTGCTGCAATTTCGAAAGTTTCCTTAAGCTTGTAAAGATCGGAATTTAGTCAACGGTGAAGGGAAACATCACGACAAAATATGGAATCTCAAAAGGTTTCAAGTCATCGTAGACAGTAGTAGTAGAGCTCCTTGTGAAAGAGTTCGTAGTAGCAGTAGAGCTCTATTGTGAAAGAATTCGTCCAGGGAAGTACTGCCACCTTATCTATTTCTGCCACCAAGCAGTAATGTGAGTATTACTGCTTTCCGGTTTTGAAGGGTAAGCGCTCAGTTACACGAGGAGAAAGTTCTTTCGCGGCCGCCGCGCGGTGACCGCCCAGTTACCACGCCTTCGTGTACATTAATGGCGAATCTGAATTCTATTTACTAGGCCACAACATTTAAATTCCTCTGAATAATAAAAACGCGGGCCGCCGTGTAGATCAAATTCAAGCCAGACTCGCCCGCGTGCTCGGGACACTCAATTAATAAATGTAAATTATTTTTATGTATACTACAGGACTGAAGCATTCGCTCGGTGTTTAAAAAATTACATCAAATACATACAGGTGTAGGTACTTATTTATTATTATTGCTATGTTCATGTTGTTTTAACAAGGGTGTCTCAAATTCAGAGTTATTATCAGCATTTCATTTCTATTTCATAAGCTTAGTTCCCATAATCGAGATAGTCACTACGGCATTTATCAAATGTCATTTCAATATCGCACGAGAAGATTATGATAAACACCGTATTTTCTCAAATTTTGTTTACAACCTGTAGGTACGTACAAATGTACAGGTTGTTACAACTAAAACAATAATCTGACAACCCTACGCTCCGAGCGAAGTGTAGGCAACAACGCGCCCAGAAAGCGGGAGTTGTACTACTATTTTATCATGTTATACTATGTGAGAGGAAAGTCTCCTAAAATTCCGACATTATTTTATTGCATTTTGATCTGTATTTGATGTGTAAGTAGTAAATTACAATTGATTTTTATTTTTAATCATTCAGAGTTTTCAAATTGCCTGTTCATTCCCATTCACTTCACTGTGCCTGTCTGTACCTTAGATTTTTTTTTAAATTTATTAAGGCTTTGGCAAAGCCATCAGCCTAAACATGAAGTTTAATTATGTTTCTGTAAATATGGCCGCCACAAAGAGGATAGGCAATTTGAGGCGCGGCGTGCTTGGATTGACTCGGGATTCCTTAAAACGGGCCGATACGGGTATTTTAGTTCGAGATTCGTATAATTTCGCGTTTTAGTCTTCGATTAAGGCACAATAGCACTATCTTATTCCACTTTAAACTAGAATTCACAAAATAATTGAAAGTCAAAATAAAAACGACACTTTTCCCTACAAAAGGTCCAGAGCGAATCTTTGTACCTTAGAGCATGGAAAAAAAAATAAAAGAAGCCTGACCTGTACTGATCTCTGGCTATAAACGTAAACTTTTTTAGCATTATTATTTTCTATAATCTAATATTAAGCGTCATTGAATTTCTTAAAAAGCATGCTAATCATATAATTTTTTTACATCGCTGTGTAACCAACCGCAATGAAGCCTTTCATTTGTCAATGAATGTGGTTTGCTAAAAGCAGTCACACAGATCCTCTAAGTTACAAATGTTTCTTTATCTGAATTTGAATAAGTGGGGAAATTTTGAAAATCCTTTCCTAAAATATTTAAACCATAACACCTACACTGTATCTGATTTTAGATAGGTAATATAAATTAAATAAACCAAAAATTTCAAAGTGGAATTCCTCGGAACTTTGGATTTCAGTATGTATTTTAAACATTATTTCACTTCCACCGTCATCTACTTTCATGATAAGATATTAATTTCAAATGTAATAAGTAAACAGAATTTGCCACGACAAATGACGACCTTTATAGAACATATAGGCCTTCATAGAATTATGTTATACTAAACATTATCTCGTAACTACCTGTGTGGTTGAAAAAAATAGATGGCACCAATATTGATGGTGTAAAATAATATAAGCTTCTATTTATGGAGCAAAAAGCAGTGCCCAAGTTAAAAGTTCTCAGTCCCGCAAGGGCACCAAACAATAAATTTCGAAAGTTTAAAAAGTTTTCATAAAGATTAATAAGCTGTTTCTATTTTTTTTTGTAAAATCCACTGCTGGAAGCCATTTGACCTACAGGTACACTCGAGAGCACGTCAAGCTTGAAACTTTGATATAAATACTGATCGGCTGCTACAAAATAATTCTAAAGAACTAATAAGGTACTTTGTTACATATTATTATTCATTGGTTAGTGTAGTAGATATTAAACCTTTGCCGTTTTATCCAAAACCCGGTCTAATTGACTAAAACCTTAGTGGTTTTAAATGTTGTAACAATTGTTTGTTTAAAAAAATAAATAAATAAATAAAGTACTAGGATTAAACTAGGTTTAAACCATGGACTAAATAAACTTACTCGGTATGAAATTCTCTTCAATTTTGTCTAATGTAGGCTTCGACTATGGAAACCAATTTCCATCCTCGAAGAATGAAAGTAAGCATCATTATGGTTTCTTTTATTGCATTGTTGTTGAAAATAGATTATTTAACACTAAACAAGCTTTTTAAGTGTTGGTCATTAGTAATGTCCTAGTTACTTATGTAAAATTAGCGTTACAAAGGTATTTCATCTAAGGGTAAGTAAGTACCACTGTCTCTACCTCGAGTCCCTTTTCAAGTTGAATGTGACCTCGACATAAGACTGTCAGTACTTACATTGCTTCACTAATATAAAAATACCAGTAAGTTCTTGTAAACTCGCCAATGAACAATCTATTGATCGGTGAGCGTCCTGCTAAAGGTTACGATGACGACACGACCAGCGATCCGATCACGATAATACAGCTAGGTGGAACGTGTGTTGCGCGTCGTTGAGTGTAAAGAGTAGAAAAGTTTCCAGTCCAGCAGCTTCTATCGTTGGCGATGGGCACTGGCTCGTATCGTGCCGTATTGTACTGCGCTTTAGCAAATACCTAAAACATTGCCTGGCAAAGCATTTGCCATAAAGTTGCATTTATTATGTTGTGTGAATTTGTTATTGTGATCGAAAGACGTCTTCTGTCTTAGATGCCTCGTGAATTTTGATATAAATATAATGACAGACTTACACATTGTGAATTAGAAGGCACACAACAAAACGAATGGTAAGATTTTTAGTCGATAAATGTTCTCCTGTATTATTTAGGCATTGTGTGTATTAGGTGATACTAAAAAAAAAATATTTCTATAAATGCAATGATTTTATGTAACTTAAGGGTAAATAAAGGACAAAAGCGAAGTGAGTTTTTCAGTATGTAGAGCCTAAAATGGCTTTAAGAAATGCAAACTTTATTACTCTGCTAGCAAACATTACGTAATATAGATGCTATAAATACTTAATTGCGTCTTCCGAGCGCCTTTGGTACACAGTTGTTATGCCATTTGCAAAAAAATTAAATACAGTTAACTATCTCTACTCGGCTATACAAATTATATCGCACCGAAGACCGAGTAGGTACGTATTTTGTACAATATACACATACCCACCTACTTATATATCAAGCTATTGAAATAGATAGAGAGAGATATATTTTGTAATATAAATACAAGATAACTATATATAGCTAACTACTATTACTCGACCATGTTAAAACGGCGAATACCCGTCGGTATACTAATGAAGTTGGTGTTCATCTCAAATCGGCGTCATTTCGCAGCTCTGCGTGCGAACCCCGACGACGAAATCATTCCATCCAGCCGTCGAAGCCGTGTTCTCGGGGGTTTGGGATTGTGATTTTGTATAAATCTCTAGTTATGTGCCAACAACTATACAAAATAAAGGTATGGCTCTTTGTAAACCTATTTTGACGCTACTTGCGCCTAAACGTCGTAGTCTATCGTTTTAGCATTTATGGCATCCATTGCTTTCTCAGGCGTATTTCTTGTCTCGCTCTATTAAACGGGACGTCAGCAACATGTTTTATTTTCTATCTCGTTCTTTCTAGTAATATAACACCGTTGTGCTCGGCCGTGTCATGTAAGATTTTTTGTATTTTTCTTAGTTAAATAATATATTTCATGTAATATTGTGTAGTGCTATATCAGATTGTGTGTTTAAGTGTACAGAGTGATAATTTGTTGCAAAATTAATCACTGCAATCGCACGATATAGGTCGTGCAAACTTTCACTCTATAGATAGGTACTGTAGCTGATGATATACATAGCATAGATACATGTACTTACACGAGTCCGTAGATATTCAACATCGAGTCGTCGAGTCTCAAGGCCGAAATACACAAATATCTATGTACGATACCTACCTACCTGAGATTATTGGTTTTATAGAAATGTGAAATTGTGATAAGTTTTTTAATTGTTACGGTCTCTGCGTCGTAAGTATCTACCTTACTATCGCTTCATGGAATGGCGTTGGCTCATGGAACCTAAACCAAGCTGGTTTTGACAATTCACTAATGTTCTTTTCGTGCATAACTCAGCGCAAATTAGTTCATGTAAATATTAAACAGGTCTTGTTGTCAAGCAGTTTCTTTCTGAAAGGTCTTTCAAGTCATTGAGATAACCTCAAAATTACCAAAAAAATAGATTCAGGGGAATGTTCTAATTTGAGATGTGTAGGCAGGTTAGTATGTTACAGTAGCTGTTTGTGTTGATTCTGATATTCTTTGTCCCTCCAGACAATCTAAAACGGTACGAGCTGTCTGCAAAGCTGCTCGAAGGATCTGCCGAGCCCGCATTATCTGTGATATACAGCTCAGCCTCTCGTCCGTCCTATAAGGCAAGTGTTACACATTTTTAGTAACTTTTTGACAAACAATATATATACTATAATAAATATTACCAATTTCCTGTTATAATTTTTTGTTTATATTTGGAACAGCTTAACCCTTAACTATAGTCGTAGAAAAAAATAACACTTCTATAGTCATAGCTTCAAGGGACCCATGCATTTCGGAATGGTGATAAAGTAGGGAGTATGATATATTTATATTTTTTTTTTAAACTATTATTTTAACTTTGACAAAAGCTGTGTTGTATAAAATTAACGGTTAGAACATATATATCAATATCTATTTATATCAGTCGTAAATTTCTTAATCTAAAATCAGGTCAACTAAAAACAATCAATAAAGAATTGAACAAATGTCAAGACACAAACAAAACTTTTTCTTACATTTGAAAATAAATTGTTTTAGAAAAATAAAATAAAATTAAAAGTATCTTCTCATAATTAAACTGACACTAGTGCAATTTAACCTAATTATAAACATGAATTGCACACAGTTTTTACATTTGCCATGTAAAATAGGCAGATCATGTAAGATTCACATAATGATCATTTCAACATTATTTTCATTAGGATTTGCAACAGATATTTCAGGACATTTCATGATCACCAATTCTGACAAAATCCCTTCATTATATGAAAACTGTTCGTCAGAATTTGAAGTTACAGCATTGCGTGCAGATATAGAATTTTCGCCGATTTCTTCCTCATCACTGTCTAAATCAGTGTTCAACCAGTGGTCTAATATGTCTTCATGAATTATAAGTCACTTTTTCACCATGACTAGAAGCTGAAATAAAAAACAATAATTGATGAGATATGTCATTCAAAAAACTTACTTATATATATATATATAGTTGTGTATACTATAACACATGTAAACCATTACTCACGTTTGGAGCAGCGAGCAAAACACGTCCATCTTAAAGTGCGCGCTGTGGCGTGCCATCGGAAGGTAATGAGGAATAGGAAGAGCTGTGTTGCCTGCAGTGATTCTTACGCAAGTTTAAAGAATGAACTTGGGTCCATTGGACCCGACTATAGTTAAGGGTTAAAAAACATGTTTACTTTGTTCATTAATTACGGGTCATTATGTTGTTTTAATGTGTATATATATTATATATATATATATAACTAATGGGTGGTGTGTATTTGTAGGGCTGGGCCAATCGGGGCTAGGAGGCGAGTCCGCAGCAGCTTCCAGCGGTGATCTCACCCGCCCTCTGCCACAGAGGCATTAAACACTGCTACCTGCTTTATTGACTGCATCACTACGAACCATTGTTACTTAGTCTATAATTGAAACAATATGCAATCTGTGAAAATAAGTATAATGCTAGGTGGATATTGTAGAAAATTACTCTATTTATAATAATTGTCTGATGTCTAATGTTTCTGTAATATTATGTGTTCCACATCTAATTAAGGATAATTGTTACTCCAATATTGATACTGTTACCGAACCAATGCAATGTAATTACTCCACCTCCATGTCGGCGGTGAACACAAATAAATTTGGTGCTTTTAAGCGAGTCGAAGAGAAGAATGAAAGTCAGCGAGTTAGTGTAAAAATGGTAGATAATATTTATAATGTAGAGTTTGTTGATAGTATCCAACAAAACCAAATGATTGGCGAAACGCCTAACTACTGCATTCCTTTATCGATTAACGCCATAACAGTCCAGGGTATCTCATACAGTGACCCATATTTCAGTAGCTTTAACTTAAACTATAAGATGGCGTTTGGAGCGCCAGAGTATATGAACAAGTCTGATTACGCTTTTAAATCCTCAGTTTGTATTATACGAGAAGATGAGCCTTACATGAGTAAGACGCAACTACTAAACGAAAAGTCTGCTCATAATATGATATGCAAAACGAAAACTCGAATGCTCGATGACAAGATGTCAATCGGAACATACCATGACAATAATGTATCGGATACGGCCGAAACATCGACGCCAAAGATGGCACTGAAATCTTTCGCGAACGGCGATCTCACGTTCGACGGGATGCTCGAACTGACCAGCAATGAGGCGAAGATGCTGAAAGCTTTGCCGGGCGAAGAGTTGGACGGCTGGGGTGTGCCGCGCCGCCTGCGCCTCCGTGGCGGTGGCGAGAGTTCGCTCAACGCCGCGACAGGCTGGGGCAGCCCTCCTGCCTCCACTAACGGTAAGTTATACATCCTTTTTATTACATTACATAACACTACAGACTAATTGTCAAAGGTTGAGTGTATTTATTTTCCTAAACTGAATAAAGTAATGCACATACATCTCCTTCAAATCCCAGAATCATTGCATTTTGTTCCATACTTGTGGATGTGTACCTAGAAATTCTTTTACTATGGTAGTGTGTTTAGAAGAAAAGCATAAGTAAAAATATAATTATTTTGTATAGATTTTAAGACTTTCGTGGTTATTCACTAAATGATTATCACTAGTATCAGGTTTCTTACCACGGTATGACTTCTTTTTATTTTCCCGATATTTCGGAACGGTTGCACGCTCCA